CCACTTGCGCTCACCACAGGAGCAGCGGGAGGGCATTATTCGATTAGCACTTCTGCTTCCACGCTGCTCGGATCTGACACAGCCTCTTTGCCTTTGTTTAGTCGTTGGCCGCTGCACATGGTACCAAGTGCCATCTGTGTTTCTCTGTCGGTTCTGAGAAATTTTAACTTCTTATAATAGACTTGTGCCAGGAAATTATAAAATAGATTACGATCTACAAATATTTTATGCACACGTGACACACCTTTCACTTCATTTGTTGATATATCTAGGCTAAGCGGTTCGTGTTTTTCTGAATCGTTGCAAAAGCTCCCGAGAGTTTCTGATCTATTCACGTCTAAGTCACGTCTAAGGGGCTGCCCACACGGTTCTCTGTGCCCTTCCTGCCCTGGCCTTCGGGGCAGCTATGGTGGTCACCGGCAACACAGGGTCGCTCTGAGGCAGCACTGACTCTGTATGGCTGCGGGTTGCAGTTTGGGGGTCTGTACTCTAGTGTGGGCTCCCCCATGACCGCAGGGTGGCCCAAAGAGTCTGTCATCAGCTGGTAATCACAAGGGTGGTGGTGTGAACTTACCCAGCAGGCGAGGAAGAAAGGCCTGGCGATCTACTCCTGATGTAAAGATCGCGTTAATGTTACATGAGCCACCGTGGACTCATGGCTTGGGCCTCCTACGGCCTACTTACTTCTGTTTACTTGAGGGAATGCAGATGGGAGAGTCAGAGCTGCCGGAAGGGGCACATTCAAAGAAAGCTCCCTCGACCCTGACTGGATTACCCTGTTTCCATTCCTCTCCCAACCAGGTCAGTACCCAACCTCGTTACTGGTTAGTTGTTGATTTCATCCTCCTTGTGTTTTTTCTAAAGGATCTTTGGTGGTATCAGGGGTTATGTGTGCGGCTGCTCACTGCAAAGTCAGCAGTTCAAACCCACCAGCCACCCTGCAGGAGAAAGATGAGGCACTCCATTCCCACAAAGATGAACAGTCTAGAAAGTGCATAGGGGAAATTCTACTCTATCATACGGTCACTCGGAGTCCCATTCAACTCAATGGCTGTTTGGCTTTTCGGTTTGGTGTTTCTTCTGCACAAATGAACAGATACAAAGTAGTTTTTACAGACCTTCTTCCTTATAGAATGATGGCATATCAGATACTCCCCTGTACTTTGTTTTCATCCTTAACAATGTACCCAGATAAGTACTCCATGTCAGTTTGCAGAAATCTTCCTGTCTTTATAAATACCTTTTAAGTACTTTTTTCCATTGGGGGTGGGGTGGGGGTGTGGAATCATTAGTTTCGTCAGATTCTCAGGGAGGTAGAAACCCCAAAGAGTTAAAAACCAAACTACCATCACCACCATCACCACACACACACACTTTTGTGTTATGGGTAACTATGGTGACGTCACTGTAAACTGCCTGGTTGACTTGCACATGTGGCTGACTTGTGAAATCAAACAAACAGACAAGGAAACCCAGCACCTTCCCCAATGAACTTCTTGCGACTTCTGTTGATGGCGCTCTAGCTCGCGTCGTCTTTCACCCTCTTTCCAACGACAGAACATAAACATCGGGCTCTGGCCTGAGGTCCCCTTTGCGCCCACCCCTCACTCCATGCAATCTATCTTGAGTCTGAGGAGCTTGGATTTGAAAATAACAAAAATTCAAGCCTAGGAAAGTGGAGCCCCTCTCAGCTGGAGCACCTGTAAGGAAGGTTAGCGCCCAGCCAGGCCCTCCCACTACTGCCAGGATTCTTCACAACCACCTACACGGGCTGCACCTACAGCTTTCAATCGCAGAAAAGGCTACGGGTTTTTTCTTGCACTAAACAATAAAGCCAAACCCACTGCCTTCGAGTGGACTGCGGCTCATAGCAATCCTGCACAGGATATCCGCAAGAACAATCTTTTATGGAAGCAGCCAGCCTCCTCTTTCTCTCTTTGGAGCAGCTGACGGATTTGAACAGTTGACCTTGAGGTTTGCAGCCCAATGCTTAAACCTAAAGAGCTGCATGAAAGGCAAGTGAACTAAGAACTGCGTGCATCTGCGCTGACTTACCTACGACCTCTTAAAGACACAGTCAGGGCTGTATCTTGTGTGGAATAATTCTGGGACTACGTGTGACCATTACTGTCCCCTCACAACCACAAAACCTGAAAGTGTCGCAGTCTCTGACCCCACAGTCTGCCCGGCCCTGCAGGTTCGAACCTGGCCCAGAGACATCTACATTCACCAGGGCTCTTTTATGGGCTGTAGACACGTACGGTTGTGAGTGAACACTAGGCATCGATCTTGGGGTCTGGGCCCTGCCCGATCATTCACTGGTTGCTTGACCAAGGAATCCCTCCTCTCTTTGGCTCAGTAGCCTTATTTATAAATGGTGAAGATGGAGTTAGATGCCGCAAAGGCGCTTCCTGTTTTTGTTGGTCACCATCGAGTCTCTTCCGAGTTACGGCAGCCCTTGGTGGAGAATGACTCCGGGGAGTTGGCTGGGCCAACACCTTCATTCAAACAGACCACCGGGTCTTTTCTCTGCAGGACCTCTAGGTGAGCTCAACCACAGGCCGGTGCAGTGTCAACCACTTGCTCCACCTAGAAACTTAAATGAACACAGCAGCAAAGACCTGCAAAGAACAAAGGCCAGCGACTCCTCTATGTCACATGCTGTACTAACAAGGCTGCAAGGCCCATGTGTTTAACCCTCGCCAGAGCCACGTGAGACGGTGTCACTGTTCCATCTCACAAATGTGGGCACTGAGGACAAAGATGATCAGCAATTTGCCCAAAGTCACTTGGTCAGCAGGCAGCAAGTCGTGATTTGAATTCCAAGCCAAAGTCCTTCGCCGCTATCCCACACAGTCCTCCCAGAGCTGCCGGCTTAATAGACTACTAATTGGACTTCACGGCATTACAACAGTCTTTAATCTCTCACGACATAACACTTAAGCCTATTGCCTTTATTGTAGACATCTATTCCCCCCTCTCCTCTACCTGTACTTCATTTCAAAAACACAAGCTCCTACATATTTTCCCACCCCCACTGTGTCACACAGAACAGGCTGGGGACTGAGTATCAAAATGGTGCATAAAACCATCTAACTTTGCCCAGACTATACACTCAGCATCTGTAGCCTTTTCCCCTCCCCTCGGCACTCAATGTAATGCAAGCATGTGATGAGTGATTATAAAGTAATCGGGAGGGTGTATGGCTACTTAGGTTCTCTGGCAGGATGCTGAATAGTTAGTGAGTTGCCATGGGAACTAAGGATGTTCCTGAGGCATCTCTAACCTTGGGAGGATACAGGCTGGGAGGACACACTTGCTTTCTTCTCATATGGCCCTTGGTGGCACTGTCAGAGAGGGAATGCTAGAAAATTGGCAGCAAAAGGTAATCAATATTTCATGGCTGTGGTGGCAAAGAACCCAAGACATCATTTAGATTTATAAATGTCATCTTTAATGCTTCCCCCAAGCATCTTTTCTTCAGGAGAAACAGCACCTGCACCAAATAGGCGCGCGCGCGCGCACACACACACACACACACACACACACACACACACACACGGCGACACAAAGACATGGAAAAGCCATCCTAATTGCATTGTGAGCATTTTTATACCTCCTTGAACACTAATAAGATACACATATCTACCCAATAACACACACACACACTTCCGTGTGCCTCTATTCCTGATCCTAAAGTCTAAAGTAACATTTCATGAACTTTAAGTTTGGATTCTATTACCCAGATTTCATATGCAACTTGTCAGATAAAAATGAATGTTTACTTCCTCTACTACAGGCATAGGAGAAAGAGAAAAAACAACAACAACACAGCATCGTGTTAAAAGGACAGGGCCTTAATTCGAAATTGGAGAATTTTAGCAACGGCCGACCACCTTAATCTCATAACTACACCATGAAACCACTGACTACAGGTGCAGAGAAAAGGCTATGAAGGAGGATGCCAACAGAACCCTGCAGTCAGCGAGCTGCAGAACTCGGCTTCGAGGACCGCACGGGGGAGGACAAGTCCCGTCAGAGTCACGGAAGGGCGCCGGGTAGCTCCAGGGCAGGACCCTCAGCCTACAAGTCTCGTTCTGGAGCGGTCAAAGCTGGGGGGCTTGAGGTCTGCGCACAGACGCCACTGCGTTCTAGCGGTTTCCAGAAGTCTTAGCTCTCGACCGGTAAAATGGGAAACCTTTTGGCTCCCTGGTGCGGAGCAGCCTTTTAAACCGCAAAATCTTTCCCCTTTGCGTATCCTCGAAGCAGATGTGTGCTCTCTCTCTGCTCCTCCAAACCAAACCCCCACCCCACCCCACGTGAGCCCGAAACACTCCTCCCAGAAGAAAAAAATTGAGGCTCAGCCAAGTGAACTCTGGAGACAGGTAAAGAGGACGCGACTGGGTGGTCATCTCCCCGAGGAGGAACTCAGGAAAGGCCTCTGGGCGCGCCCACCGCTTCCTATCCAAGTTCAAAACCTCGTGGACCCAGCCGCAAGCATGGAAACAGTTGCGAGGGGCCGTTCGCGGCAGACTGACCGCAGAGCCTCAAGGAAATCCAGGCTCCCGGCAGCCCGCTGCCTCCCGCCCGGCGAACCGGGGCTGGCCGCAGCCCGCGGGGCCGGGAGCTCCCTGAGGCGGACCGACCACGGCAGCTACCTGGACACCGTGCACGACGTACACCTTCTCAGCCTCGCTCAGCGACACCGACGCCATGCTGCCGAGTGGCGCCACGCG